TGTTATATTTACCCACTAAATATGGGTAATATAGCTTCTATATTTAGAAACCCAAAAATAATTTGGATAAATATAAAAATTTTATAATATTAAAAATCTCTTATGTTTACTCTTATTTACTACCTATAATCATGTCCTTACGACTAAACCAGTCAACGAAGGACACTGATGGAAACAAAAAAAAAAAGTCAAAAAACTTTATCATTTCAAAAAAAAATAGGTAAAAGAACTTAGAAGAGACGTGACGGACATAGAAAATATCTAATGGAGGCAGCTCTGTTCCTCATCTTTTGCTTCCTATTATCATTCCTTCTCCTCGCCGCCGTGAGTTCCCGACGGAGATCCACCGTACTTCCTCCGGGACCTCCGGGATGGCCTATCATCGGAAACCTTCTCCAAATCGGAAAATCTCCACACCGTTCATTTGCCGACTTCTCAGGAATTTATGGACCAGTCATGAGTCTTAGGCTTGGAAATTTAACCACGGTCGTTTGTTCCTCTCCTGAGGCAGCAAGAGAGGTGCTTAAAACACACGACCAAGTCTTTTCTGGACGAACCATCGCTGATCCGATTCGAGCCATTGACCACCACGATGTCTCCATGGCATGGCAACCTTCGACGTCATCTCGGTGGAGGTAAATTCTAGAAAAGTTTTTTCTTCTTAAAAATCTCACATGGTTAATTAATTTGGTTATGATCAAAATCCGATGTTTCAGTTTTTTTTTTTTTGTTTAGCATGCAACTAGATTTTAACCCACAAAAATAATAATATTATGCATAAATATAATAAAATTGAATATTTTTGATCAAACATATGTTAATGTTATCAGTTTTAATATTTTTATTTGTAAATTGATAAAACATATGCAAATATTATTTATTTTAATATTTTTTAAATATAAAATTAATCTTCATTATTCATGTAAATGATAGAATATACGATAAATCAGAGAAATTTTAGATTTATATGAATTTGTTGGACATAACAAACAGAAAACAATATATGTTTTATAATAATGAAATGTATAAATATTTGTAAATGTGATTAAATATATATAGTAGAGTACATATCATGATAAAAATATTCTTATAGTATACTAATCTAAATACATAAATACACAATGGATAATTGTTATAATTCTTTATTGTGTTGATTCGGTCTTAATAAAAGTTTGGCTCGTTTCACTTTGGTTTTCAATCTAGTGTCGGTTTGATTTTCCGGGGCTATCCATTTCGGGACATGACTTTTATCCCATTTGAATTTTCTATATCCCAAATCCACCATTGTAATAGTGGCAGATATAGAACCGATTATATGAGTTATCCATTCGATCGGGTAG